ATAATAACTTGTAGGGAGACAATTCCAAGTCTTTTTTAGTGGGGAGGGGGCTGTCCTAATCCTAAGGAGTGCTGTTGGGAGACATTTGGTCCAAGGCATTTTAGCTTCTAAGATTAGTTTGGTGAAATGCTTTTTGAGAGTTTGATTAATTCTTTTTACCTTTCCAGAAGAAGGGGGATGCCAAGGGGTGTGATAATTCCATCTAATTTGTAAACTTTTTATAATTCCCCTTAATGCCCTTGAGGTAAAGTGACTCCCATTGTCCAAATTAGTATTTTTCACCAGGCCAAATCTAGGTACAATCTGTTCTAACATTATTTTGACCACATTCCCAGCAGTGACTGTTGGAAGGGGAAAGTAAATACTTTAATTTTCATACTTTGGGCATTTCTGTGAAATTTACTTGAATGCTTTGAAATGGTCTTAGTTTTGGAGGTCTTCCTCCCATAGCCTGTTTTTTAATTACCTTTTTGTTTATCCTTTGACAAGTTACATAACTTTTGCATACTTGTTTAGTGAGAGTATAAATCCCGATACACCCATAATTCTTAAGTATTGCATTACACAGAGCCTAGGGTCCCTAATGACTCCCTTTGTGTAATACAGACATTAGTTTTTAAATTAGGGGTTTCTTTATTATTTCTTTTCCTTTAGGAAGTACCCATTTCCCATCTTTAGTTTGAGTGACCCCTATCCTGTCTAACTCTTCCCTCTCCTCTCCGGTAAACTGGGGCCGTAATACTTCTTTAGGGATGTCTGGTATCAGGCTAAATAGTCTAATTTTTGCCTTCAGGGGAGGCTTGCTTAGCAGCTTTATTTGCAAGCCTGTTTCCTACAGCTTTTATAGTGTTCCCTTTTTGATGACCATTTACATAAACTATGGCTACCTCTGCTGGAAGCAGGAGGCTTTTTAAGACCTGTTTGACCAGTTCCCCATGTACGAATTCTTTCCCCTGCTATTTATTAGACCCTGCTTTGTCCAGATTTTTTTTAAGTGTGTACCACTCCATAGGCATATTTAGAATCAGTATATATAGTATCTTCTTGACCTTCAAGGAGCTTTAAGGCCTGGTTAAGAACATATAATTTACAAGTTTGGGCTGACTAGCCATTAGGTAATTTACTTTTCTCATGTAAGCAGTGTTTATTTTCATAAATGACAGCATAACCATTATGTTTTTTTGTTTTTTAATCTATCACTTGGGATGACCCACTCACAAACAGCCTTATCCCTAGGGCCTGGTCTAACTTTGGTTTTGTATTTTATCATATCTAAGCAGTTATGGTCTTATGTTTTTCATTCCCCTCTCCTTTCCATAGGAAACTGGCTGGATTCAGGCAAGTATTTGTAGGTATGACCAAATCATTTTTTTCCATTATTATGGCTTCAAATTTTAGAATCTGAGAATCTGTTAACCACTTCTTGGCTTTTTGGTTTAATATATTCCTGACCTGGTGTGGGGTGCTTAGTATTAGGACACCACCAAAGGTTAGCTTTCAACTCTCCTCTACCGGCAGCACTGTGGCAGCTACTGCTTGCCTACATTTGGGCCACCCCCAAGAGACAGGATGGAGAAGCTTGGAGACAAAAGTAACAGGTTGCCTCTTCCCTCCCCGAGTTTGAGTGAGCCCGGCAAGGGCCATGCCCTGGCCTACTGTTACAAACAGATGGAATGGTTTTTCTAAAGATGGGAGGGCCAGGACCAGGGCTGTAATGAGGGCCTGCTTTAGCTCTTTCATTGCCTGAAATTTCTCTAGGGACCATTGCAAGGGATTTGGTTCCTTTTTCAGTAACTTGAGATACAGAATTTTTGTCTTTTAAGCATATGAATCAATCCATAACCCTCAGTAGCCAGTCAAACCTAAAAATTTTTGGAGTTCTCTCCTTGTCTTAGGCAAAGGCAGACCCACTATTCCTGATATTTTCTCTGGGTTTATTCTCTGCTTCCCTTCACTGAGCAGGTGTCCTAAACATTTAACTTTTTTTTTTCCCTATAAATTGCAATTTGTTCTTAGAGACTTGCAATCCCCTTTCTCCTAGGAAATTAAGTAAGCTTACAGTGGTTTCTGATACCTTGGCCCTCCTCTCCCCAGAAATTAAAAGATCATTTACATATTGTAACAACTGGGTTCCCCTGGAAGGTTGGAATTCCTCCTGGACTTTTTCTAAGGTCTGACCAAATGAGTTTGGGGCTTCCATGAAACCTTGTGGCAACACAGTCCGGCAATACTGTTGTTTTTCTCCCAGTTATAGGATTTTCACATTTAAAAGCAAAGAGGTCACTACTCCTAAAGTAGAAAGGACTGCCCAGAATGAGTCTTTTAGATCCACCACACTGAACCACTTCCGTTTTAGGACTATCTTACTAAAGAGGGTGTAGGGTCTAGGTACCACAGGGTGGCGGGTCTGGACAATTTGATTTGTCTAAGCCCTTAGATTTTGCACCAATTTATAACACATTAGGCTTTTTGACTGTGAGAATTGGAGTTATTGTATCGTGACATGCAGGGTTCTAATAGTCCTTCTTCAATGAATCCACTTATTACCGGTTGGAGACCATTTTTCCCTTTAATGGAAATGGGACATTGTTTTTTGCAAACTACTTGTCCTGGTTGTTTTAGTTTAATCTGTAAGGGTGTGATTTTTAAGCCTCCTCTCTTGCCTTTCCTAACCCACACAAGAGGATTAATTTTTTTTCCTCCTCCTCTGTTAGGAGGCCCAGCACTACTTTTATTTGTCCTTCCTCTATTCCAGATCCTAATCCCAATCTCACAATCAGGTTTTGACCCAGGAGGTTAGTTCCTGCTTCAGGAACATATAAGAGTGACCCTTCAGTTTGTTCTGGTCTCAATCTAATTAACATTTTCTTGAATATCGGAACCTAAAATCACTCCCCTTTGACCTTGGATACTGTCAGTTTTTCCTTAAAGACTTTTGTACCCCTTGGTTGGTGAATTAGGGAGGAGCATCCAGTATTAATCAAAAATGTTACTTCTTCTTCCTCAGGTCCCATCTTCACATTTATTAAGAGTTCCTGGTGGGACCACTCAGAAGGAACCCCTGAAGCCCCTAGTCTTCATTAATGGTTATGAGGGGGGATGCCTTTTCTTCTTATTTCCATTCAGGACATTTTCTTTTAAAACTCCTGGCTTTCTACACTTTTAACATTTACTCACTGTCTTAGGAGTTTTCCCCTGCATTTCTCTTCTTTCTCTGTGTTGAAATCTGTCATTCCTTTGTCTCCTTTGAGGGGGATCTAGATCTAGCCTTTTTTTGGACTACCTTTTCCGCAGTAGAAACTATGACTTTTGCTTTTTGTTTCTGCTTTTCTTCCTCTCTCTCATTACAAAGACTGACCGAGCTTCCTTCAGTAATTCCTCAATCAGTTTCTCATTTCATCCATCAATCTGTTTTTGTAATTTTTTTGTAATGTTAAGCCAGCTCTTAGTTACAAAGTTAACCTTTCAGAGGCCTTGCCCTATTGGGTTCTCTGGATCTAATTTGGAGTATTTTTGTTATTATTTTTTTATTTTTTATCTAATCTCTGAGCCTCTGCAGGAATGCAGAGGGTGTTTCCTCTTTTTCTTGTTGAATCTCGAATACCTTTGAGGCATTTTGTGTCCTGTGAGTGAGCTCTTTGATTCCTTAAATTATTAGTTCCCTGAGGTCCCACATTTGGGCCCAGTCCATGGGATGACTATTATCCCTTCAGGGTCAATATCTGGAAATTTTTGTTCAGCTGGCAAGACTTCTTGCCTGGAACGTGTTGCCTTTCCCAGATGGTTATGGCTGCTTTCCTAATCATTTCCCTTTCTTCGCCTGTGAACAGGATATTTATGACAGACATCATTTCAGCCCACATGTAAATGCTGGGTCCTAGGAATTGGTCCAGCTGGTCTGCTAAACTGAGGGGGATCATCTAGGGATCGTCTAGTTATTTCCTTTATGAAATTCCTAATTCCAATACTTGTAAGATGAGCACTTACAAAGCCAATCTCTCCCTGTCTGTGGGAACTTCCCTAAGGGCGAACATGCTAGATGCCTGCTGTGTGGAAGGGATAAGGAAGTTCTCAACATCCCTCTTACACTGTTCTAATTCTTTTCTTAAATTTGGATGAGGATTTAAAGAAGTAGTTGGTTCGGCTCCCCCATGGTCTCCAGGTATTTCTTCCTCTAACCCTCCTGCTACCCCTTGATCTTCCTGTTCCTTGTTTTGTGAGATGTATGGAGGGGGTAAGCATGATAAGGGGTCCCAGGGCTTTTCACTGTGTGAGGGCTTTTTACCAGGCTCTTTTACTCCTTCTTTAACAGGGAACATGGGGGTGCTAATTCCTTGATCCAGCAGAGAGTGTAACCTATCTCTTCTTTTGAGGATGGGATTTTATTATTCACATGGGGAATTAAAGCTTGGCATACCCAAACCTCATTTGAGCCAAACTTAGGCCAAAAGACTGAAGGATTACAAGTGGGTCTTTGGACCAGATAAAACAGCAATACTTTATTAACTTTTACTTTTCCTTGTCCCTGGTTTGAGGGTTGTCCCTGCAAACCTGCAGTGTTCTCCCCAGTGGACTACATACGGGAATGTCAGAGAGAGTCTCTTTGACTTCCTCTTTCTATTGTTCCCTAAGCCTAGAATTTCTGTTTCCTTTTTTCGATCAGTCTCTGTGTCTGAGCTTTTCCTCATGCACTCAACCCTCCCTACTGGAGGTTTCTTGCACACCCCAAGAATCACCCCCTCTGTCTCTGGTCATTTCTCTTGTGGGAGAACAAAACTGTGGATTGGGACTCTGCACTTGCTTCTTATCTAGGATACATCTCAGTCATGCACACACTTGACCTATGAACATGCCTAACCTCCAAGCAGGACTTGTAGTCCAATTTTCTTACTTTGGCTCATGCACAAGGTTGCCTGGTTGCCATGTTGCCTGCTTTTCTCCTTGTGTTGCCTCTGCTGCCTCCTGAATAACAGTCTTGGGTTTGTCTATGGCGTCCGCAGGGAGCCAGGAAGCCCAAACAGAGTGGGCCACCTAAATCAGGTGGGATGCATCTCCCGTCTCTGCCATAGTCCCACTCCATGAAGGCACAGAGATCCTGGACAAGCCCCCAGATTTGTGAGAAACACATTTTCACCCATCCAAATCCAAAGAATGGACTCAGAGACATGAAAAACAGCAGAAATGGGACTTTTAATGGCGGTCTTGCAAGATCAGGTGTCTAGTAGGCAGGCATACCTGAGGCAGTTACAGCAGGTAATTTATCTCCTCGCATGCAAGTCCCTCCCCTAGTTCCTCACTGGTCCAGTACTATCGGGTTACAATCTTCCTGGACGTCACCTAAGTTTCATTATCTCCCTCATAAGGTTATACCCAGGTCCCCTTCCTTGCATGTTTCAATTTCCCAATAATGAAACTTTCTTCCCTTTTATGGGCTGACCCCTCCTCTACATTCTGTTCGCTTATTGTGATCTTCTGGGTTCATGAGCCATGCAGTTTGTTACATTTTGCCGGCTGGCTGCTGGTACTTAGATTTATTATGCTTTGAAAATGGACCATTTAAAATGTTTTTCTTACATGACCAAATAACCATTGGGCACATCTAGTTATATATTCATGTTTCCAATTATCTGAAGTTTAAGTAGAATCAATTTTATTTCCTCCTTGTTTATTTCAATGTATTTTGCCTTCAGAAAGTTGGACAAAAAAGTCAATAGAGTTCCATACACACAGTAAGATATTTATCAATGTTTAACTTTTGAATATATAAGTAATATGCTTTATTTCAACAAATAATTTTGTGCAATTTATAATACTGTAATAAACTCTATTGAGGGCAAACATATAAAAGAGCTTTACATATATTTTATTCTTCTTATCTGTAGTTATGCTGCATGAAATTTCTTATTGCTTATAATTTTAAGAACATTGTTTTTTCACTCTCACATTATTGCAGATTTTGGCATTCTTTGACATGTCACCAGTGAGTGAACATACTTGTATCAACATAGAATCATTGATATCTTTAATTTGTAGAGGGCCCATAGAAATCTGCTATTCTTTATTTTACAGATAGGTAAACTAAAATTTGCTGCCTCTCAATGACTTTTCTAGGGTCATGCAGCTCTTGGTAGCAGTCAGGTTACAGAACTAGGTTTCACATTTTCCATTTCAGGGTAAATCCATTTTATAACAAAGAAAATGATATTTGGGCCTATCATCAATATTTCAAACTGTGGAATCTTTCACACCCCAAATTGCATTTTAAAATTATGTTAAAAATATTACTTCATAATAAGATTTAAAGTTCATTGCATTCATTGAATCACAATTAATGCATAACAAATAATGCATTAGTTTTAAAGAAAAGATCCCATCATTTAGAAATATAAATCAATTGTGTATATATGCCAAGTTATTAAAAAGTTATGTCTTTATCAGATATCAACTTATTGTTAAATGTCTAACGGAAATGTTTATGTGTACACACATGCCTGCACATTTGTGTATACAATAAATAGATACATTGACAATTTGATATTCATTCTTTGGTATTATTTGCATATTAACGTCAATCTTATTGTGAAATAAGAAAAAACCTGTGACAATTTTAAAGACCACATAAGAAAGTTACAATACAATGTTTCAAATTAGCATGTTTAAACATACAGTTGGCTCTCTGTCTCTGTGGGTTCTGCATCCGTGGATTCAATCAACCCCAGATAAAAAATTTTCAAAAAATAAAAAATAATAATACACAAATTATAATAATACAAATAAAACATGTAGTGTAACAACTATTTAAAGAACATTTACATTTTATTAGATATTATAAACAATCTCGATATGATTAAAAGTATATGGTAGGCTATGCATTGGTTATATTCATATACTACACCATTTTACATAAGGGACTTGAGCATTCATAGATTTTTGTTATTACCAAGGGTCCTCAATCCAATCCTCCACAGATGCCGAGGGACAACTGTACTATTATCATTACAAACATTAAGTGCTTTTGAGGATAAAGTGGCACTTCATCTGATGTTTATAAGTTCAAAAAGGTTTACACAGGCAAAGAAGATCATTTATGTAATGTGAGGAAATTGATTAATTCCAAAAATCAAGATATTACACTTATCCAAAACTGAATTTTCACTTTTTAAATCTTGTTAAATAATAAAAACTAGAGTCCTGGTGGAAAGTTCAGACTAAGATAAAATAAAGAAAGTGATTATTGTCCTTTTTTCATTTAGATGACTCTATAGGTCATTAATTTGGCCATACATAGCTTTATTCATTCTGATCCTGACCTGACCCTCATAACCAGAAAAAGCTTATTTAAATGAAGCAGTCATTGACAATAATATATCCAACATAATTGTAACATAATTAGCTTATGACGTGGTGAGTTAAACAAAACTTAACTATAGATAATTTTCTTGAGGTATATTTGTATATACAGGAGAGAGATCATAAAGAAACTGTACAAACTAATTATTTTAGTGTTACATTTGATTTTTTGAATTCATAAAATACCCTCCATTCAATAAGCCTTTTAATTTGTGTTTCTAAAATTGAATTTTAATTCAATAAAGAGAAGAACATCACACATTATTTTGATGGCTATGATTGGCAGTTCGATAAGACTCAGTGTTGAGGTAAGAGCAGGTTAAACAGTTATTGGCCTATACATTGATTACATTTATTATGGTGAAATATTTAAATTCAGGTGTTTCAATAAAATGTGGTACACATTTTATTTTGTGGGTGAATTATTTTTCTATCACCAGTAGGTTGCACTAGATCACGAATGACAAACGGGTCTCATTCTCCCTGCCTAGTCTTATTGATTGGTAGTGAACATCTGGTGCACAGGTTAAGAAGGATCATGTGGCTGTGTCAGGGCTCAGGAAGAAATGATACTGGAATAAGGTTATAATGTTTCTATCCTCAGGATTATAAGCAATCATGAGGTCAGGAACTTTGTGTTCTTTGTCACATTTTGAGTGCCTATAATAATTCCCAGCATATGTTAAACACAAAGATATATATAATAATATATATATGACATGTACAATTATATATACATGTTATATATAACATGTATATTTATATATAATTATGTGCAATATATACATATGTGCAAGGAAAAGAGGAAGAAGAATGGCAAAACACGTGGTACATCTTGGCCTTCTCTGCACTAGGTAATTGTAAACTACCAAGATCTGTAAGTCACAATCCTCAAGCATGTGTTGAAATGTAACCTGGTCCATTTTAAAAAAGAAATTTCAGAATGTAAAACATAAAAACTTGCTTATACACATGGAAAGATATAATGAGTCCAACAAATCCCAACAAGAGGCCTGATTTTTAGAAGACCCTTCTGTTAGACACCTAATGAGAGTTCATTTAGTCACAGGGAAAATTATAAACTCTTGCTGAAAACTAACGTTACTTAAATTTTTTTAAAAAGAGAGAAAACAAAGAAAGTTGAATTCTGAATTTTTGTCAAGGTCTTTTTATGTATCTTGCTGCCTCAGAAGTCAGTAGTCAGCAGAGGATTTCTCACTGGTAGGAAATGGATTTGCCTTTGAAGCGACTTTGGATAAAACTGGTTGCCTCCAAGAGATGAAAATGATGGAAGCCAAGAGACCTGGCAGGCAGCTGGGTACTGGGCAGCCCTACAACTATCTCTACTGAATATATTCCCTATAGTGAAGTAGTGACCTTCAGGTCTCCTATGATTAAGGCAAATGATCTTATGAGTGGTCATGAGTATGCACATTGATTGGGCTTGGCAGATTGCATAATCAACTGCAAATTGGCTCTTGGAAACGACTGGCTATATCCAGTGAGCAGAAGAAATGGAAGCAAGGGGATCTGGCAGACAGCAAGTAGCCATAGCAGCTGTATGAGTTACATTCCCATAACTTAATGATGAGGAGAGCCAAGCCTGGACCTTTCATAGCTGTGCTTTTCATTTCTGATATTTGGAGGAATTGCAGGATGGAGCTGCACACCCGAGCAATTTACCCTCAGGGTAGCAGTAAAGCAGAGTGAAAAAGTCTTACTTGTATTGCTACACATCTTGAAGCATGATATGCGCATCCCTTTTCTTTATATCCAGAAGAAAAGCACAATATCTGCTCTACTGATAATTGCAAACCAGGCTTCTCTGATAAAAGGATATTAATTTCCACTTCATAGATCAATAGGCCTTGGGAAGTCAACTAGTCCATCACACTATCTTACTACAGAATCCTTCCCAAACCAGAAGGCAGTGTGTAAAAGAGATATAGGCATGTTTTACAATATTATAATTTAATGCTATAAAATTAATCTGAATACATGCAGCGATGAATTGCTAAACCATTCCAAGAAAAGAGTCTACTAGATGACCACTACCTTTCAACTATTAGATGAGCTCATATTTTCTTGTTTGTATATTTTATTAGACAGAAGAGGCTCAGAGTTACAAAAAAAGTTCCAATTCAGCAAGTATTAATGAACTCATGTTGAGTTTTTAGTGATACGCAACAGCCTGTGGAAGCTATTAGCTCCTAAGTTTTATTTCAGCATATATTTGTTTCTGCAATGGAAAAAGCTAAATGATGTCTTTTAAGAATATAATTTAGCATTCTACCCTGACTAAAACATAGAAGATACATAGTTTTGCAACCTGTTTTGAATAAAACAGATATCAATAAATGGAAAGGGAAGTTCTAATCAGAAAACACAAGTGTTAGGTTTTATTTTACCTGAAATATTTGTTTGATCTATGTCTCATCATCTTTTCATATGCTGCATATGTTTACAACTGCAGCATATTAAATAAACCTTTTAAGTTGTGTTTCTAAAATTGAATTTTGCAACTGTGCATTTTTTCATCATTCTTTCCATTTAGCTTCTCAAAAACTGTAGATTATATGCTGAAAACACACACGATGAGTTCGTAAACCATCACAATTTAGAAAAACAACGTACCAATTCTATCCTGGGAATCAATTTTCTTGGAAATAATTTATTCATCTGATCTTATAAAAGAGATCAATAACCCTGTTTCAAAAAGTTCCTTAAATCGTCTTAGAAAAAAGCATATTTGAAAAAAAAAACCTATGGAATTATAGTAAAGGCTTCTGTTTAAAAGAGAAATACATGTTTTAAGCAATTTAGAATGAATGCTGATATTTTTATCTATATTTATGATATACGCACATATGTGGTATAATTTAAAAAGACTATTTGAACACAGGAAATTGTAAAGATTGTGTGCATTGCTTACAGTATGACTGCATCTCTTTTAATCAGAAAAGGTAGTTTCTCTTTTCTTAAAAAATCAAGAATAGAAACAATGTCTACCAATTGATCAGCACTTACCCGTATGTAAAATACTAGCTGGCATCACTTCAAATAGAGATGCATTTTGTACTGGAAATTTCAATATTAATAAACTCGTGGCCCAATTATTTCTAGTATACTGAAGAGGGATAAAGTTATGGAAAATGGACACACCATACTTTGCATATCTGATTCATAAATGCTAATGTTTCAAACAGAAATCAGATTAAGCACATCAAAACCTAAAGCATTAATTTGATTTATCAATTTTCCACTAGTGAAAATGGATGTTAAGAAAGTTGCAGGTGGCTTAACTAGCTACAAAGGGGTTTCATGGAATATGAAGACTGCTTAAAAAGTAGAGATTTACACATTTATCCCATTGATAGGTTATCATAGAACTCTAGCAGGAGGATCATGAATTCTTGCCTCGTCACTGATCTATTGCACATCCCCCTGGCTCAGCCAGGCTCTGTAGTGTGATTTTAGCAGAACAAGAGATAATCAAACATCCTGTTTTTATAGAATTGTCCCAATTTAGGGTCCTTCAGGGCCCTCCAGGATGCCTATTTGAGATGTTTTTCTTTCTGAAAAGCATTATCTAGGGATAAAAAAAAAAGAACGTAATCTGTCATAATCTTAGCCCAAGGAAATATGAATCCTGGTCTCCTTACAGTTCTCAGAGAAGTAAAAATAAAACCAAAAGGCAAGATGTTTTCCACAAGGAAAGAATATCAAACTTCTGGCCAATGACTACCTTCCTTCTTTCTATCCCCTTTTCTACCACCTGCTGCTGTACTCAAGCCAAGAATCAACGCATCACCATTTCTGATTTCAGAACTTTTCTGAGTTCCTATGAATATCTTTCTCCAATTCCTTCTAGTTCTGGAAGCCAATGTGAGCCCATTTCTGCCATTTTAATTCCTCTATTCCTTCTGATTTCTTATTTCCTGCTTCCATATTGTTGTACTTATGTGCTGTTCATGACCACTCTTTCTGTTTTCTCTCTGTCTATTTAGAGTATCTCACATCACTCAGAATTATCCATTTATGTTAAACTTGACAGGGTCACCACACTGACTGTTGGCATCTTTCATGCAAAAAAGAAATAGGAAAAATATATAATTAAAAAGAAAACTACCAGTCACAGGCAGAGCATATAGACGGTTTTTCTCACATAAAATTATAAAAAGTGGGAAAGGCAGATACCTATTCCCAAGGTATGAAGCCTCTGAAATAAACTTCTATCAAAAAAAAAAAAATTGCAACAATGATCAAATACCATCATCAACTATTCATCCCTGGAGGGTTGATGACACATTTTCAGTGCCTAGCAAGTGCTTTAAAAAATGTTGACAGAACTGTTGAACTATTTTGTTAATGCAGTGGTTCTTTAGGAAAATGATTGATGCTTTCTTGCCAGTATCACTACCATCCTCTCTTCTTATACTTTTTCACAGCATTATATAGTCTTCTCTCTCCTTCTTTTATTGTCTTCTGATCTCAGAAGTTACGAGATTTACTAAATATCCATGGTACCCAAATCCAAAACTTTGCTGGTACTTATTGTAAAGTCAGCTTAACACATTACCTCCAGTGATCTATGTCTGTGACAAATTTTGTAATATTCAGTATACAGTTGACCCTTGAACGATGCAAGGGGTAGGAACAGCAATTCCTTGTGTAGTCAAAAATCTGTGTATAACTTCTTTTCTTTTCTTTTTTTTTTTTTTTTTTGAAATGGAGTCTCACTCTATTGCCCAGGCCAGAGTGCAGTGGTGCGAGCTCAGCTCACCGCAACCTCTGCCTCCTGAGTCCAAGCGATTCCCCGGCCTCAGCCTCCCAAGTAGCTGGGATCACAGGCCTGTGCCACCATGGCCAGCTAATTCTGTATTTCAGTAGAGACAGGGTTTCACCATGTTGCCCAGGCTTGACCTCAAGTGATCCACCCACCTTGGCCTCCCAAAGTGGTAGGATTACAGGCATGAGCCACCACTCCCTGTGTATAACTTTTGACTCCTCCAAAACCTAATTACTAAGACCTTACTGTTGACCAGAAGCCTTACCAAGAATATAAACAGCCAATTAAAACACATTTTGTAGTTTATGTGTGTTATATACTATATTTTGATTACAAAGTAAGTTAGAGAAAAGAAAACGTTACTACAAATCATAAGAAAAAGAAAATATATTTTCTAGTTATTAAGTGGAAGTGAACCATCCTAAAGGTCTGTATCTTTGTCATCTTTGTGTTGAGTAGGCTGAAAGGAGGAGAAAGAGAAAGATTTGCTCTTGCTGTCTCAGGGGTGACAAAGGCAGATGTAAGTGGACCTGTGCAGCTTAAACCCATGCTGTTCAAGGGTAAACTGTCAATATATAGATATTTAGAGGGAAGGAATATCAGTGAGGGAAATAGTACTTAGAGGATGCTTCAAGAAGAAAGTGGGTCTGTGTGTTGAGTTTGACCAACAATGCAATTTCAGAGAATTCTCCCCACAAGACTGTCCTCACTTCAGACAGAAGTCATAAAGTTCCTGGGTCCCCAGGACCACTCGCAGTTCAGACCAGCTGGCTACAATTTAATGGATTCCAATGACTAACTTGGATTTGATAATTCACTATAAGGACTCACAAAACTAATTGAAAACTATTGTAGTCATGATTTATCACAGGGGAATACAAAAACTCAGCCTAAGGAATAGATACATAGGGCAGAGTCTCAAAGAGGTCCAAATACACAGCTTCTGGCTGTCTTCATCCTGTGGAGTCATGGATGGTGTTACCTCCTCCTTGCCACAATGTGTGGCAATACACACAGAGTTTGCCAATCAGGGAAGCTGGCTCAAGCCTTCAGTGTCCAGAGTTTTTACTGGGGCTTAATCACACAGTGCCAGCATTGGCTGCCCTCTAGTCTCCTGCCCCTCACAAAAGTCAGGCAACCTTTACTCATCAGTTCTTCATGAGATTAGAAGTGATATAGCATGGCCTCAAAGTCCCCATCATAAATCACATTTTAAAATGGTCTAGTAGCCAAACACACTAGCAAATGAAAGCATTCCTATCAGGCAGGACATTGCAGGAACCTAGAGATCACCTCCCAGTAGCTGAAGGCAAAAGCCAGACCTCTCTTTGGATGAGGTGAAATTCCTTATAATACTGTCTAAAACTGAGTGTTCAAGGAAAAAGAAGATAATTAGGTAAAGATAAGTTACTTCAGGCAAAAGGATAAACATAAGAAAAGAGTTGGAAATGTGAGTGAGTGAATGAAAGAGGAGTCTAAGGAAAGGATCCCCTCCCAGCAAATATGGGATATACTTTAGGTAGCTGAGATAAATAAGTTGGACTAGAGCAAAACACATAAATTCTGGATTGCTTTTAAAGTCAGGTAGAATTCAGGGAAAGAAGTATTGCTTTGACACAATAAAAGCCTGAAATATTTAAGATGCTTGAATTTGGTTGACGAGCAGAATAATGAAAAATCTGTGTAAAGAAATTGTGAAGTATTGTCTTTGTATTTGAACAATATGTTTTACATAATGCTAAAAAGTGTAAAATACCAATAGGAAGGCAATCAAAATATAGAGGTCTAAAATTTATATCAGATTCAATCATGGAACCAGTGTATGTTCACCCAGTTTTTAAAACATAGGACTTAAAAAGACAAAATAGTTTTCTTCAAAGGCTTGATGAGATTTTATATTTCAGGGAATCCAAACAAGGATTCAAGGGAGAAAAATAGAGCAAGAAAGATATAGACTTACCAATACAAGGGGAATTTTTCTATCAATTAAAGTAATCTACAAAATAAGTTTTTTTGAAAAATTGGGCTTCCCATCAATAAGTATTTGGGTAGTAGATGGGTATTCATCTACATTTTGGGGTTGATTTGTAGAGATTGTTGCATTAGAGGTCAACGTCTCCCTATTTCAGAATTCGGTGGGACTTTGAAGTACACAGGATGATTTAGATGAGGGAGAGCCTGGATTCATAGACATCTGCTAGGAAATTGCAAGAATATAAGTATAAAGTGATCCAATTTTGGAGTAGGGTGATGGTAATGATTGCAGAACAGAAGGATAAAAGAGATATTTCAAAAGAAAAATTAACAGAACGTAGTAAATGGCTAGATGGGGAGTATGAATCTAAGAAAAATGCAAAGAATACCCACCTTTCAAGCTTGAGTGGCTAAGCTAACTGTGCAACAGCTAGGAGAAATAGAATCATCACAATGGAGAACAATTTTTGGAGGAAAGATGGTGATTTCTATCTTGAACATAGCAAATTTGAAATAAAAGGAGAAGCCCAATAAAGGATGCCTTATAGACTATGGTGAGAGGCAAGTTCCTTTGTTTTCACTTTTTACATATTTTTGTTATGGCACTTATAACAGTATGTCTGTCTTTAGAACTGTTTAAATATCTGACTCCCAGTGGATTCTGGGATTCTTGAAAACAAAGTCAAAGATTTATGCATCCTTTTATTTAACCAAACCATCTTTGTGTCTTGCACATATTCAGTAAATATTTTATGCTAAGTTATTTAGAGATAAAAATCTGAGTCAAATCCATGTTTATAAAACTCAAGATAAAACTGAGAAAAAAAATAACAAGAAGCTACTTACTGTTTAGAGAAGGGAGGTAAAAAGGCTGAACCAGGAGCCGTAGATGGTGAAGAAATGAGAGAAATTGAGATTGTGAATTATTATAAACTCTTGAAGATACGGGCTTCAAGATCAAGTACCTAGCTAACTGTGAGATCTTTATAATGAGAATGGAGAAAAGGTCTTTTTTTTTTTTCATAAACGTTTAATTGATGGCTTCCAAGAGGTACTGACACTATTGTAGATGGTTCAGAAGTTTCCATTATAAAGAAAATTTATCCTGTGCCCAAGGGATACTTAACAGAGGCAGGCAGGCTCCCTCCTTGTGAGTCTCTACTTCTTTCTTATACCTGAAACTCTTACTTGCATTTTAGATTGTATTTCACCCTTGCCCTATCTCTTAGTCCATCCCTACTGCTCTCATATGATATAAACTAGGTAATTTATAAATAATAAAAATGCATTTCTCATAGTTATGGAAGAGCAAGGTGCCAGTAGGTTCAATGTCTGGTAGGGGCTTCACTGCTGCTTCCAAGATGGCACTGTGTCCTTGTACCTTAGAAGGGCAAAAAGCGGGAGACAGCTCTGTGATGCCTCTTTTATAAGTGAATGAATCTCATTCATGAAGTGTGAACCCTCATGACCTAATCACCTCCTAGAGGTTCTACCTTCTAATACCATCACCTTGGTGATTAGATTTCAGCATATGAATTTTGGAGGGACACATACATTCAAAAACCATAGCACTCTATGAAATGATAGAAGAAAAAGCCAGTAGGCACATTCTTCTGTCTTATTTTCTGTTTTATACATTTATTTTCTGTTTATCCATTTTGAAGACATAGTCCTTTGGGAATGAGAGAACATTTGCTACTGTGGTACACACAGGCTGGAAATGTGGAGAGGCCGGGCTGGTCATGGCAAGGTTGGATGACATTCACACTAGCATGAAGAGTGAGAATAAACGCTCTGCTGTGAGGTCATATTTTCATTTCAAAAAAAAACAAAAAAAAATCAAGCCCTGAGGTGGTCATTGGAGGTTCCAAAATGTGTATTTTCTTGCCTCCTCCATCATACTACTTTCATTTTATCCATTACTTGCTTGTAGTCACTTCCATTATTTTCATCTCTAGCCCAAATGAATACATACTCCTTCACATGTCCTGCAGTCTGTGATGATGTCAGATAATGTTAATTAACCTCTTTGCATTCAGTACAATTGTCCCTTGGTATCCTCAGGGGAATGGTTCTCAGACCTCCCTTGGATATCAAAACCCGAAGATGCTCAAGTCCCTGATGTAAAGTGGTATGGTATTTGCATATAACCTGTGCACATCCTCTTGTACACTTTAAATTATCTCTTGACTACTTACAATGCCTAATACTATATAAATGCTATGTAAATAGTTGTTTTATTGTTTAGGAAATAATGACAAAATGTCTACATGCTTAGTACAGGTCCAATTTTTTAAATATTTTTGATCTCTGGGTGGTTAAATCTATAGATTCAAAACCCAAAAATATGAAGGGCCAATTGTATTTATTTAATAAACATTAGATGAGCACTTTGCCATGGTAATTGTGCTAAGAACTCCTGTGAAATACTTAACTATGTGTATCATTAAGATGTTTCGGACTGCACGTCATGGAAAACCCCTACTC